TCAGTAAGGAGGAACTTATTTAGCTCATAGTTATGGGATATAGGTACAAGTCGTGGCGGAAGGACCTGGAAGCATCCACAGCCAGAGACCAGAGGGAGGTGGACACCAGTGCCCAGTTCCTTTGTCATTTTTGTTCAGTCCAGGAATGGCGCTGCCAACCTTAGGGCAGATGTTCCTGCCCCAATTAGCCTAATCAAGATAATCCTTCCCAGGCACGCCCAGAGGCTAACCTAATCTACAGAACTCTTCTCCAATTCTAGATTCTGTCAGGTTGACACTAAGTATTAATCATCACAGAATTTTTCTCAAAAGAGAAGGTGGAGCCAACAAGGTGACTCAGAAAGTAAACGCACTTGCCACCAAGCCACTCAGAAAGTAAACGCACTTGCCACCAAGCCTGGTTTACTTCCCATCCCCAGAACCCACATAGTGGATGGAAAGAACCAGTTTCCACTGCTTGTCCTCCCACCTTCAACGCATGAAGTATGTCACAGGTACACACACACACACACACACACACACACACACACACACACACACTGAAACAAAGAAGAAATGATGCCAAAGAGTTCCATCCAGCCCCCATGTGCATGGGGACACGCATGTAATATGGAGCCATACACACACAAATCTGCACATACACACAAAAAAGAGAAAAGTTTGGAAACTCTCGTTTCCGATGTTGATTGCCAGGCCCTTGGTGTAAATGTGAACACAAGCACAACTGGGAACGGTATGGGCACTAAAACACTTTGGCTGCCTGTGCCCAATAATCCTTCATATCTTAGATCTGCCAGACATCAGCTTCGAAGCCATCTTCCTCCTCTACACAGTGCTTTTGGAGGACTCTGCGAATGTCTCCCCAAAGTTGTTAGAATGGATCCCTAGTTAAGAATGGTTAGCACATGATCTAGGACTTCCACTCTTAGGGCTGTACCCAAAAGAAATGAAAGCATACGCCTACACAGCTTCATGTGGTGTTTATAATAGTCATTCATGGCTGTCAAAGTATGCAGGATTAATACAAATGTTCCCAGAGTGATATAAATAAGATGTATATCCATGCATGGAATATAATTTGCCCATAGAAAAGGAATAAAGTACTGATTCCTCTTAAAGTCTAAGCTGTGGCCTCCTCGTCATGGTGCCGATGCCTTCTGTCCTGTCCCATCAATTACCTTCCTAAGCCCTGAGCTCACTTCTGGCCCCTTCTACCTCAACAGTATGCAGGGTGATCCCGTCACAGTACAGTGGGAAATCCCTTAAGGACCCTACGGCTCCTTTCCCGGCCAGTCTTAAGTTGCTCATTGTCTCTTTTAGGAAATTGGACAATCACATGACAACTTTTCTGGATTTGTTATTCCTAGATCCTGCCTGGACATGAGTACATTACACTTTTGCCTTTCTCCAGGATCTGCTCAAGTAGCCTTGTCTTCCTGAATAGTTGTGTTCTGACAGCACTGCCGGTGAGTTAGAACATTGGTCTTGCTATTAGAGATGAGTAGAAATCCAGATTCTGCTACCTGCTGGGAGAATGGCCTTAAGTAAATCATGTTTTCTAAACCTTAGAGTTCCCACCTGTCAAGTGAAGATAATAAGTCTACCTAAAGCAGTTATCAGGGTAGCACTGTGGAAGTTCATCCATTTTTACCATCTGGCCCTTCCTGGGCCTCTCCCAAGTGAGGAACCATCTCTGGAAAGGTGTCTTCACAAAGTCCTCATGCTGGGACAGGGGATTTCCCCCACACTTTGTTTTGCCATTAACACCCAGGAATGTCTATATATCTTAAAGATAGTCACTTTCGTTTTCTGTTTACAAGAAATTTCTAGTTCATAATCACCTGGAATTAAATGTGTTGTTCAACACCGTATCTTATATCCGACAGGAAGTTCAGGATAAATCATTAAGTAGTTAAGGCTCTATACTGATAAAAATCCTGCCACTTGGCTTAAAGCTTTGCTTTTAAGATGTTGTTTGTCTCACATCTATCAGTTGTAAATGATTTATTCCTTCCTCCCCCTACATTCCCATAAAATTCCCTTTATTGATTGCTACTACTTGTTTTCAGATGGTACACCTACTGATGTGTTAAGTTGAACAGCATCTCCCCACACCCATGTTCTGAACCTCAGAACATGACCCTGTTTGAAAGCACATCCACGTGTTGTGTTCCTTAAGCATGAGGGGACATTCTGAGAAATCATCTTCATCACCATTCCAGCATCACAGGCTATGACCCCTGCCTTGGGTTTTGCAGCTTGGATCAGGTATGTCATGTTCCAGAACAGGACATAGGTCCACTTACAAGTTGAGATGGCAATGCACATTCATGTTAGTGGTTGGGAAGAGGTACTTATTGAAAAGAATGGCGAGGCATGTTTGCTCGAAGCAATTATAGTCTTGCCCTGTGATTTAGCAGAAAAGAGGAAATGAGTTTCCTAATGGAGGAAGAGAATGCATTAGAAATCGAGGATTGAGAACTAAAGGTCATGATCATGCACAAGGCTGAGGTCCGAGGGTGGCCTGGATCCAGTCCGACACTTGCCTGAACAATATAGACCTGATTGCAAAGGAAGAAAAAGGGGAAATTGCTTGACAAATTTTCATGACCAAAAGTGATGAGGAAGGACGTTCACTATGGTGCTGGGTGGCCTGAGAATAAAGCCTGAAGCTGTTTCTCTCTTCCATCTTTCTGCAATCTATTCTCTTTTGATAGCTGCAGCGAACCTTTCAAAATAAAATCCAGTCACCTCTCCCCTTGTCTGCCAGATGTTCTCTCTCACAGCTCCCTCCTAGCCCCAGCCGCTACCTCCTGGGCTTTACGTTAGAGCAGGAGCTGCCCTGCCTGTCTCCCCTCCTAGGACAGTGAAAGAGACCCTCAGATCACAGACCGCACCTGTCAGTCCTCTGCTCTGAACTCTTGGTGGCTTCCCTTCTGACTCAGAGTAAATCTACATGACTCAGAGCAGCCAGACTAAACACACAGGAGTTCATCTCCCCATCACAGCGAGCGCGTTTATTGGTGGTGCACTCCACTCCTAGAGCTCTTTCTCCTTCTGTCCACAGGGCTCCTCCCTCACTTCCTGAAGGTCTACATCTCCACCCTTCCTATTTCCCTTCTCTAGTTTCCTCTTGGCATGTATGAGCTTCTAACGTGTTAAATACCCACATTATGAAACTTTTCAAATGTCGACCTTTTCTACCCCAAACATACACATGCTGTAATATAAATTTCACAAGGAAACAGATTTTATTTTTGTTTTTCTGCCTGTTGGAGACAGGGAGCTTCTATGTAGCACAGGTTAGCCCAGAAAGTTAACCTAGAATGACCTTGAACTTGCACAGTCTGATCTTGGCCTCCCAAGTTCTGACAACCCTGTCCAATCTTTTGATCTTGAGACAGGATAATATCATCTACAGAGTTCGAACACAGCAACCGTACATTCAAAATGTAAAAAGATATACTGCAAAAAAAGAAAACAAATTCATGATGTTTTAAGTAAGTTTAATATTTAGTCAAATTTACAGCTATCCTGGGGCCAAATGCAGGCAACTGGCTGGACAACACAGCTAGCTACTTGTGCCTACACCCCAGCTTAAGTAAAGGGATGTTTTATCTGCACTATTCACCAAAACTTAGAATGTTTGGAGTATAGTAAAGTAGTTGCCATTCGACCAATGCTTGTTCCATGGAAGGGCAAATGATTATGAAAACTGGTCATAACAAGATGCTGGATGACTAACCCATAGAAAGAATATTGTACCACCCATCGCCGTGAAAAAAAAAAAGATATGTAACATAATGTAAAAAACAAAATTCCTGTGCTCTGATCAAAACTACATGGGTGTGGATGTGAGCCATTTCTGGTCCTTTTGTTTTATAAAAAGATCTGGGTCCCCAAGTTTGCCTTTGGTGCTCTTGTCATTTGAATCTACACTTGCAGAGTCACCCTGCTGTACCTATAATCACTTTGGTCTTTCACTCTACCTGGAGCTTCTCATCCACTATCTCATATGTTTTTGCACATGCTACAGGTTAGTTAGTATACCCTTCTGGGAATAGCCATTTGGCCTCCAATAAAATAACTTACCCATCACAAAGTGACTAAAACACTTGCCTAGTAAGCAATGGTAAAGGATAAAAACAAACAAGAGGGTACAATAGTAGTTTCAGAATCGTAAACATACTTCTAGAAGTTTATTAAACTTGTCTCTGTTGCATAGGTTAGTAAAGGGACATGTTCTTAACAAGGTGGCTTGAAAGTACCCAACACTGCATAGGTGCTAAAATGGTGGGATTGCAGCTGATGTGTTTAAATCTCAACACTTTTTTCGTCATTTACTTGGTTGTTTTGCTGTTATTTTGTTTTGTTTTTTGTTCTCACGATCCCTAAGTGCTAGGTGGTGGGTGTCAGCGGGCAGGGACCAGGCAGGCCCTCAAACATCTGGATACTGAAGTTATAACGCATACCTGCAAGCGATTGTGTATGATCACGCAATTATAAAGCCTGGACCAGCACAACAACAGGAAATCGTTCCGCAACACAGGGAAAACAGAAGCAAAGCAAAGAACTGGCCGCCTCAGCCCACACCCCACCCAAGTGAGACGTCTGCGCGGGCGGGGAGATCCCGCTAAACTGAGCGGCCGAGGCCCCGCCCACGGAAACGGCAGACCAATCCGCAACCTCATGCAAATAACCGAGGGCGTGGCTCGAGGGACTCGAGGGACGGCCCCTGTGGGCGAAGCCACTCCGGAAGAAGGGAGGAGGAGGAGCAGAACCTCGGGCTAGCGCCGATTGGCTGGCCCGCGTGTGGGGCGGGGCCTGGAGGTGGCCCCGCCTCGCCGAGGGGTGGCGCCTGGCGGAGTGTGTGGCTCCTCGGGGCTCAGGGGCGGAGCCGGAAGTGGGGCGCCGAGGTTCGGCACCTCTGCGTTCCGGGAGCCGGCGGTTCCCCCCGCGTCTGCCCCGGGCCCGCCGAAGTCCCAGCTGGGGTCCCGGAGAGCGGAGCCTTCCGCCGGGGCGGGCCGGAGGGCCGCCGCCATCCCGGCCTCGGCCATGGAGGCTCCTGCGCCGGCCCTCACAGAGGAGGACCTCACTGAAGTGAAGAAGGACGTGAGTAGCTCGGCCGGCCGGGCGCGGCGGGGCGGGCGGGGCGGGCGGTGGGAAGCGGAAACCCGGGCCCGAGCGCCGGGGAACGGCCTGCCTGCGTCCCGGGGCCGCTGGGAGTGACCCGCCCTGCCGATCCCCCACCCCACCCCGCCGAAGCGGCCGGGTAAGCGGCTGCCTGGGGCACACCTACCCCGGGCGGGGGCTGCGGGAAGCCGGGCGGCCAGCACGGCCCGGAATTCCCCCGGTGAGCGGACGCCCACGCACAGCCGGCGAGGCCCGGCGGCCAGGTGGAGGTCTGGAGCGCGCCGGGAGCCGAAGTGCACGCTCCGGCTCAGACCGCTCGCAGCTGCGCATGCACCTTACATTTGAGAAGACTGACTCGGGGCGCGAGGTGCCTCGTTTTGTTTTGTTTTTTGTTGTTGTTGTTGTTGTTTTGTTTTTATTTTACTCTAGTTACGTGTTTTGCCAGAAAAAAAAAGAAAACATCAGATGAGCACCACTTAGATACTATACGTGAATTCGCGTTAAAGACTTCGTTCTTTCTTAGCGCCGTAGGCAGTGCCTTGAAAAGTCAACTTTGCGAACTTGACAGCAAGTTGTCGAAGACGTTGGCTGCTTCAGATCCCTTCCCCCCCCCATACCTTAGCCCTTGTACGGTTTATTGCACTGTAGCCATGATTAAAATTGGCGTAGTTGACTGTTCCCTTGTTCAGTGCAGTTGGTGGGGCACTTCCTGTATGGAAAGCTTCTTTGCATTCTACTTGAGACTAGGTCTTTGACAACTACCGTAGTCCTATTTAAGACGCCAGTAAAACCATGCACTTAGAGTGTGGTGCCCGTTCTCCTAGTTTCACGCAGTCTTGGATTTTCTCACAGTCCTTAAACTAACCTGTAAAGGAGAGAATTGCTTTGCATTTTGTAGCTGGCAAAGCAGGACAAGACCTGCCTGTAGATGAGTACTGCAGACCTTTGTCACTGCCCCAGTTGCTTCCTGACAGTTCCAGTTTAGACCTGTATCAGATGGTCACAGCCGTAGAGAAACTAGGCATGAGCTTCAAGGTGTCTATACAAAATGGTTTTCCTCAAATATTTATCCTGTTATTAAAACTGCTCATGGCAAGCTTGAAACATTCATCCACACAACTTGAACTTCCTTTTTCTCAACCTCAGACGTCTATTTCCAAGTGTTTACTAGGAACCACATTTTAATATTATACAAATTATTCTTATACTTTCAAAAACTGAACTTTTCATTATCCTTCCCCCAAAACTGCCTGGTGTTCCTTCAGTATTATCTGTCCTGATCAATGGTGGGAAGTTGTTACACGAGGCTCTGTCTGTTTGCAGGGTTTCCTTCCTGTGGTCAGCCATGGTCCAAAAATATTTAACGGGAATTTGACAAGTTTATGTGGTACAAGATGAGCACTGTTTTAAGTGGCATTATAATCATGTACCATCCACTGCATTTGGCCAGGGACATAAGTCACACTTCCCTGGTATATTACACTGTTGAGTGTTACCTGCCTGTTAGTCCCATAGTAGCTGCCTTGATAGTTAGATTAGTTTTTATGGCAGAGAGCTTGGGTATGAGGTTGGTACCATGAGATTTCAGACATCCCCTGAGAGTCTTGGTACATGACCTCCTCGTGTTAGTGGGGAACATTGTCCTGCTGCTAATCCCTGGGGACACCTGTGTCTCTAATGCTCCTCCCCTTTCTCATCTGTTTATTTAATATGAACTGGTTTTGGTTGAATTTGGTTCATTTTAACAAATAGAGATTCCATGGTACTCTGACAGTGAAATTTGGTTCTAACGATTAAATTAAGAACCAAGACAAAATTCTGTTTTTAAAATAGCACAATTTCTTGAATGAAGGGAAATAGCCATAGAGTGATATTGTAATGGATTTTCCAATTATCAGAACACTGCACCCTGAAATGCAGAGTATAGATCATTAAACAGAACATTCCTGCTTCTCATCTGCTCCAAATACATAGATCATTAAAGCTGAAAATACAGTATTATTCACATAGTCGTGCGATTATAAATGCAATCAGTGCTATGAAGACAAGCCCCAGAGCATTGTATGATGTGAGATGTCAATCTGTAAATGTTTCTCGTATTATTTAATGAATAAAACCCTGTTGGTCAATAGAAAAGCAAGATAGGAGGGACTAGTAGACAAGGAGAATTCTGGGAGATGTAGTAGAGAGAAACAAGATGTGGGACGGGACAAAAGTAAAAGGTCCGGACCCTTTCTCTGGGAAGGTAGACCACATGGAACACTTAGATTGGTAAATATGGGTTAATTAGTAAGTCAGAGCTAGCCAGTAAGAAACCATAGCCAATGGCCAACAGTTTCATAACTAATACAGTGTCTCTGTGTGTTATTGGGGCTGACGCTGCTTTGGGACCAGGCTGTCGGGAAAACTGCTCATAACGTAACAATTGTACTTCAGATAGGATGCTGGTCAGATGTGCCTGAAATTGGTTCCTGGCGTTGGTGACAGAGCTGCAGGAAGAACAGTTGAAGACGAAAAGAGTTTGACAGAGACCTAAGACAGTCAAGGCTTTGCAAGTTCAGAAAGTTGAAGGGAGGCAGAGGGTAACAAGACCACATGAGGAAGGAGCTCTAAGTAAACTCATGAAGGACTGGGTTTCTTCTGCTAGAAGAGGGTTGCTGGGGAAAGAATGGGGTTTTTCTTTGCTTGACTTTTTAAAGATCTTTCTGCCTCTTCTGTGGACCTCTAGGAGATGAGTAAAAATGGAAAAGATCATGAAAAGACTTGAATATATGTATGGAGAGATGGTGTTGATTTGGATCAGGATGAAGGCAGTAGGCCTGGGTGAAACAGAAGTTGGAGGTACATTTTAGGAGAATAGAAATAATGGGACTTGGTGGCAAACTGACATTGAGGAAGAGCAGGTGTGAAGGTCAGAAGAGAGCTGTAAAGTCGAAGTGCAAGTATGACATTGAGAAACTTGAGAACTAGCAGATGAGCTGTTTGAGGCCCAGAAAGAGCTTCCAGGTGTTGTCCTGCAGTCCCCATCATTTGGAGACTAAGGCAGAAGGATCACAAGTTGAGGCCAGGTAGGCTATGTAGCAAAACCCCAGAGAGGAGGTGAGAGGTGTTGAGAGAGTTTCATAGACATGGAAAGAAAATCAGGGCAGTGTCACATTTGTTCAACAAGGAAGATGTGTCTGGAGGAAGGGGTCATCAGCTGCGTCCCTGCTCTGAGAAGCCAAATAAGATGAAGGCAGAGGCAGGCAGATCTCTGTCGGTTTGAGGCCAGCCTGGTCTACAGAGTGAGCCAGGACTATACAGTGACACCCTGTCTTGGGGGGGGGGGGGGGACTAAGAAGAGGGAGGGAGGGAAAGGAGAGAGAGAGACTGGACTGGGCCTTCACACACATGGCCGCTGTTAGTCTTCTTAGATGGATTTGTCAAGGAAGTCCTTGAAGGCACAGTGGTTAGGTAATTTGTGCCACCTATCAAAGTATGTTGCAGAGCTAGGATTTTAACATCCTTTTATCTTATTCCAGAGCCATGTCATCTTCTTTTCTAGATTTTTTTTTTTTTTAATATGGGTGTTTTGACTATATGAATGTATATACACCATGTTTGTCCCTGGTATCCACAGAAGTCAGAAGATCTCATGTGGATCTCTGGAGCTACAGTTATTCGCCACTGTAAGCCTCCATGTGGATACTTGGAAGCAAACCCAGGTCCTCTACAAGAACAAGTGCTTTTTCTTAACCAGGAGCCATCTTTCTAGTCCCAGTGTTCTCAACATCTTAACCGTTGGCTGTGGTTCAGGGTTATCAGTAAGTCACGGGCAGAACACTGTTGCTGTGATTTATGTGACAATTCAGGTTTCTATTTTCTCCTGAAAATTTGTAAAAATCTAATATATACATACAGATAGACAGACATACATATATATGAAAGAGAACTTTGAGAAAGAAGAGGGAATTAGAAAATGTTGCTTTTGTGTTATCAGTCCCTACCGGATATAAAGGTCCAAGTCAGGCAGTGTCAGTAGTAGGTGCTGGAGTGATGGTGATAAGCAGGAGCCAGAGAAGAATTGGGGTTGACCGGACGGTAGTAATTCCAAGTGAGTTGAGCATAGGAAAATGACAAGGAAGATAAACTTAGTTTTAACATATTGAATTTGAAGTGCCTTGAGATGTCAAGGTGGAAAACATCTTAGTCACAGACATAAACTTGTGACATGTCAGCATGTGTGATGAAAATGGCCACAGAAGCTTTTCAAGTTCATCTTTTAAATAAGCTCTTTCATTCCACACCTACCTTCTGTGCTGACACTGTCGCGGTTTTCTAACTGTTTCCTTGCCCCTCAATGTTGGCTCCCCTTGTCCTTTTCTAGAAGTTTCCCTGTGCTTTATTTATGTATTTATACACATTTGGTGACTCCTGCTCTGGGTTACAAGATAACATTCGTCAGCATCTAACTCCAGCTTCCTTCCCAGCTTCCTTCCTTCCCACCCTCAGATGCTCACTGTAGCTCGGCATCTTCCCCGATGCGCGTCTTCATGCCTGGGTAAATTTCCCAGCCCCAGGTGGTTGTGCACCCGCGCTTTCCTTGTTCTTGATCAGCAATCGTTCTTTTTGGAGCTGAATCACGTGGTCTGATAATTACTGGCTTGTGTGAGCTGTGTATTCCCCAGCTAAGCCAAGAGCCCCTTTTATCCAGTGTTAAATCTTGTTCATCTTTTTATGTTCGTGCTAGGAACTTAAACATAGAAATTTTGCTGTGTGGCTAAATAAATGTGCGTGGGAATTCAGTAGATAAAAACCTCACTGAGACAACTTTCCCGCCATTTACTAACTAGGCTCTCCTGAAATCTTCCACTGCCTTTAACTCATTATAAATGTGAGGCAAATTCATCAGCATGCTCATTGTCTCCAACAGGATCGATCACATGCTATGTACCCTGCAGTTTCTAAACACTTTGCATATATTAATTTATTCCTCTGAACCATCACAAGTGGAAACAGCCAGAGCGGAGTTAAGTAACTTGCCCAGAGTCATGTGTCTAGTGAACAGGCATGAATATGAAATGACTGGCATCAGATTATCACCACCATCTATGAAGACAAACGTGGGCCTGATTTAAACACTACAGAGGATGTGTCTGAGGTGTTACATGCTACCTCATTGATGTGTGACTTTTTTGCTTGTATGGTTTAGTTAAAACTAATGAAAAGGACGAAAGATAAAAAATACATAGCGAAGGCCAGCCTGAACTAGCTTCCCTTATTCTAGGCTTTCCTCTAGTCTCCTTTTTTCTTCATCTTTTCCTGCACTCGCTCCTATTTCTTTATGGTCCTCTCGTACATTCCTTCCTTCTCTCTTCCGTGAAGACCGTCCCGGTGAGTTGTAGAGTTTTTCTGACATAAAGCAGAGAATATGGACCCTTTCAGGAATTTGGATTTTGTGTCTTTTTAATGGTGAGAGCTGCAAATTGTGAGAGTCCATGCCAAGTTGTCCTCCCCGGTCCTAATTCTGAAATTCAACTTGATGGTTACTAGAATGTAAAGAAATTTGTCTTATCTTTACCCCTGAGCTAGGTGAGCCTCTGCAGACTTCTTGTCTCTGCAGACCCTCCTCCAGTCTGCTGGGTCTTAGTGTGTGGAAAGATGAAACCAGGCAGAGTCTGAGGACTGCGGGACCTACTTGGGTCTGCCTGGCATCATCCTACTTAGCACACATTTTAAAGGGCCCATCCCTCCTGTCTTCAGAGCATTGCCTCATAGCGGTTAAGATTCCTAACTAATAACCAGTCACCACTGTGATTTTCCTATATGTTAACATTGAGCTTTCTTTCTTTTTTTTTTTTTTTTTTTTTTTTTTGTCTCTTAGGCTTTAGAAAATTTACGGGTTTACCTGTGTGAGAAAATCATAGCAGAGAGACATTTTGATCATCTGCGTGCAAAGAAAATACTCAGTAGAGAAGACACTGAGGAAATTTCTTGCCGAACTTCAAGTAGGAAAAGAGCTGGGAAGTTGTTAGACTACTTACAGGAGAACCCCAAGGGGCTGGACACCCTGGTGGAGTCCATTCGCAGGGAGAAGACACAGAACTTCCTCATTCAGAAGATAACGGACGAGGTGCTGAAGCTCCGGAATATCAGGCTGGAGCATCTCAAAGGTGAGTGATGCCGTGCAGGAGTTACAGCGCTTTTCAAAAGTGACAGTGACTTTCCCCCAAAAGTTAACGGGTCGGAGTTACATTGAATTTATGTTTCTTACCAGGTCCATTATCATGTCACAAAGGTGATACAGACCCAGTTGGCTGTGTTTGTATTCACTTAACAAAGTGTTTATAGAAGTTTATCTCTAAAATACGCCATAAACTTAATTCATTCAGAAATAAGCTCAGAAAACACCGTGACATTGCATTTTAAGAAGAGGAACTATGTGGCTTATGCCTATATTCCTAGATTTAGGAAGCTGAGGCAGGGCGATTACCAAAAGTTCAAAGCTAGCCTGGGTTACACTGTGGGTTCCAGGTCAGCCTGGAATGTAGAGTGTGACCCTGTCCTAACAACCGAAGAACGCTCTGTAAGTGGCAGGTTTTCGGTTTAACTGAGCTTTGTGATTTCTCCCACCAGTTGGCCAAAAGCAGTAATGGAACATGCTTATAAAAATCTTTCAGGGCTGGGTGTTGGTGGCGCACGCCTTTAATCCCAGCACTCGGGAGGCAGAGGCAGGCGGATCTCTGTGAGTTCAAGGCCAGCCTGCTCTACAGAGCGAGTTCCAGGACAGCCTCCAAATCTACACAGAGAAACCCTGTCTCAAACTCCTCCCCCTCCCCAAATAAAAAGAATCATTCATAAAGTGTATGTGGATTTAAACCTAAAACCAATCAGTTTGTGAGAGGCACGGGACCTGAGGCTGGCCAAAGGAGCAGGTCCCTCCCACTTCACCCTCAGCTCACCCTCAGCCCAGGGCACCGTGATGGGACACCGTGTGGAGCTGTCTGCTCAGTTTCACTCTCCAGGCTACTCCTCCCACCCCTCCCTTCCCTGATCTCTAGAGCACTGGGTCACACACAGCTTAGCGTATAACCGTGTCCCCGCTGCTCTCGTCATTGGCGATAGAGAAGTGTCACTTAAGGATCGGCCCAAGAAACTCGAATTGGGTGTCTTTGTTATGTCCCCCCTTCATGGGCTTTATAAACAGTGTCTGCGTCAGGTTTTATGTGACAATTGGGCAGGAGGATCTTTTCTCAAAAGACCAGTGAGATGGAGAGATGGGCTGGAGGGTGTGTCTAATATTGAAAATGGTGGCAGAAAAGATGACATGCCAATTTGCTTTTAGACATCTTTGGTTTTGTCAAGCCAGGGGTTCGTGTGCCTGTAGACAGCCACATGCAGGGTGTGACAAGTGTAACAGATGGTGCTTTTCTTCATCCTGTCCTGGAGTAATTGTCTGTTAGACCCATGGGACATGACGGCAGTCTGTGTAGGAGTCACACACTGCTGTGTGAGAACCAGGACAGTCACTGTCTGCAGCCCTGGAGCGATGCATGGCTCACCTACCTGTTTCTTGAACCCCAACAGTAACAGTGAGCATCTTGGGTGACCACATCATCCTCTTAAGTGCTGACACTGTTACTCAAGAACCAGGAATTGCTATTGATTGGCTTAAGATTTGAGGATATGCCTGATTACATTTTGTTTTTATCAAGGAAGAATATTTCTTAGATAAAAATCTGAATTCTAAGTCATCCTGTGCTGCTAACCTGTGCTGCATGGTAAAACCCTCTCTTAGTGGAAAAAAACTAGCTGTGAAAGTCACTTCCCTTATGAAAAATTATAGGAGCTGCTTTTTCCTTTTTCATATGTCTGAGCTGTTTGCCTGCACTTATGTACCTGGTGCCTGCAGAGACCAGAAGAGAGAATCAGATCCTCTGGAACTGGAGTTACAGTTGGTTGTGAGTCTCCGTGTGGATGTTGGGAACTGAACCAGGGCTCTTAATCCTGGAGCCATCTCTTGCTCTCCCCACCCCATCCCCATCCTTCAGCTATTGACTAAGTAATCATTGAATGTGAACAATGTGGCACTTAGTTAGGTCCCTTGAGATGGTGTCCTTAGCTTGGAGATGTAAACAGTGGTATTCTTGTCAGAAAAGCAAGTGAGATTTGAAGTGGGTTGTGATGAGAGCATCTGTATATCCTAGTCCTGAGCATCAGGACACACCCTGAATCCCAGGTCTTAGGAGGTGGTAGCAGGAACCAGCCTTGACTCCATAGTGGGTTCCAGGCCAGTCTGGGCTACATGAGACCCTGCCTCAAACAAGCTGTGGTTGTATTGTAGCTCACAGTCCAGGAGAAGTTACCAGGTGGGAGGGGAGGCCACATTGCCGTCCCTTTCTGACTTATCTCTGTTCTGTTGTAGGCCTGCAGTGCAGCAGCTGTGAGCCCTTTGCATCGGGAACCACCAACAACCTTTCTAGGTCCAACTCCGATGAGAGTAACCTCTCTGAAAAACAGAGGGCGTCCACTGTCATGTACCACCCAGAAGGAGAATCGAGCACCGCTCCCTTTTTCTCTACTGAGTCCTCTCTGAATTTGCCAGTCTTGGAAGTTGGCAGAACTGAAAATGGCAGCTTCTCCTCGGGCACACTTCCTCGGCCTGGGGACCCCGGGGCGCCCCCTCTGCCCCCAGACCTGCGGTTGGAAGGAGGAACTTGTGGAAACTCGAGTGACATGTTTCTCCCCTTACGATCACGAGCTCTTTCACGCCAGTGACAACTCACTGCCTAGTTTTGTTTTGTTTTTTTAACAGTGATGAAAAAATGTTGTAAATGATATAATCTTTTTATAAAAACCACTGTAACAGTTCACTCACATTTGATATGTCCTTTAAATCAGTGTACACATTCTCTGTAAATAGGATTTGGGTAAAGAAGCACGCTCTGGGGGCAGCTGGATGTAAATCATGGTCATGTACTTTTCCATATTGACCTTTTTTTTAATTTTTAGATGTTTAGTATTTTGTGTGTTATAAGACTAATTTTACAAGAATATTTCTCATTTTGAGAAATCAACTCATGGGCTGAGAATAATGTTTCTTCGCACATTTATGCTGCAAATGTTCAGTATGACCATCTTTGCCAGTGACCTGGCAGTGTGTTTCAGCAGTAAACTGTAGTGAGCTGCAGTAAAGCCAAGCCCTCGGAAAGCTGCCCATCACACGGAGTCTCCCGCCCCTTGGTTCTGAGAAGCCTTTGGGTGGCTGAGCCCCCTGTGACTCCGCTGGCCAAAATTCATTTTGTACTGCCCTTGCTCACTGATGTGACTGCCTTTGGATTTTACAGTCTATGTGTCATCATTCTTACCCCTAAACATACTGCCCTGAACCAGGTGGAGGTGTCCACGCCTTTAATCCCAGCACTTGGGAGGTGAGGCAGGCGAATCTCTGAATTCAAGGCCAACCTGATCTATAGCGTTAGGTTTCAGGACAACCAGGGCTACACAGAAAAAAACAAATATTATCCCAATAGGATATTACTTGTAATTAATTGATATTACTTGTAAGACCTGTGGGCCTTTCATTCTTTTTCAGTGAACACTGCTATATGGATAAAATAATTAGAATAATTGATTTTGGAATGTGTGACAATCTTGTTTTTAATATTTGTGTCAAGTAGCTACTAGCTACAGCTGTGTTTGCATTGTATTTCAAAGTTTGACTAACTTTACACTTTTAAAAAAACACTGATTGTCTTCATTTAAATTATAATTTTCCATATTTCCTGACATCCACCTCCTATATTTAAAAATTGAAAAATGAAAAGTTGCTATTAACAATAAAAACATTTTTCAAGGTAGTGATGTTTCAGAGTCAAAAACTTAAAATGTCTGACTTTTAAGTATCTAACCCTTTCTATACTAATTTCCAAAACAAAACAATATTTCAAAGCCAAATGTGGTGTGCAAGCCTGTGATTCTGCCACTTGGGAACTAGAGCCAGGAGCATAGTGAGTTTGAGGTTGCACACTGAGTTCAAAGCCCGAGTCCATAGCCATGCTGTCTCAGAAAGTGGCGGGCTGAGAGGAAGACAAGGGGATATAAATTGACAGGATGGCTTGACTCAGTAGGATACAATGTTACTAACCTGTGCTACATGGTAAACGTTACTTTTCAGGAATACCAGAGGAACACAGTATAAAATCATACTTTCCATTCATTTGTATTGCTTTAAAAAAAAAAAAAGCATGCTTTTTTTTTTTTTTTTGTACAGTTGTAGGTTTAACAGGGAAAAAAATACCAGAGGAACACAGTATAAAATCATACTTTCCATTCATTTGTATTGCTTTAAAAAAAAAAAAAAAAAAAAAAGCATGCTTTTTTTTTTTTGTACAGTTGTAGGTTTAACAGGGAAAAAAATGAGTGAAATATTGAATACCTCTTCCTGTTTTACATACTTACATTGATGTGCTACCTTGTTATGTTTGATTAACCAATATTGATATATTGTTTGTGGGGGGGTTTCTTTTTTTTTTTTTTTTTTTTTTTCTTTTTTGAGACAGGGTTTCTCTTTAAGTTTTGAGACTACTCTCTTTGAAGACCCGCTTCTGCCTCCCAAGTGCTGGAATTACATGTGCCACCACTGCCTGGCGATACATTGTTACTAACCAAAATCCATATTTGGGTCCTTCCCTTCATTGACTTAAGTTGCAAGTTTTTAGAAATGTATATGAAAAATCTACTCCAAAAGTGTCATAACCAAGTAGTTTATTTTCACCACTGCACCTGTTCAGCCTCCCCTCCATCCCAGCCCTAGCAAACATTGATCTTTTCTGGAACATCTCATTGTTAGGCATAAGGAACAGCGCTACCTCAGGCTGGTTCCTCAAGCATTTCAGGGTGTGTTCCTCCATGAAGAGGCTCACTTAGCATGGTACTTGGGGAGTGAATCAGACCAGGGTGTAGTAGCAGTTACCAAGTTAGGGTGACGTTTTGTTTTGTTTTTTTTTTATCCTGCTTTTTAGTTTTTGCTTACATTTTTCACTTGTTTTATTAACACTGTGTAGTGTGTATGCGTGTGCCTGTGATGGAGGCCAGAGGTCCATATCTGGTGTCTTCAATTGCTCTCCATCTTATTTTGTTGAGACAGCGACTCGCTCAGCCTGGAGCTCTTCATTTGACCAGACTGGCAGATCCTGGGAGGCCCCTGGCCATGCTCCCCCGACCCTAACGATACAAATGCACAAGACTACACCAGCTTCCATGTGGGTGTTGGGAACTCAAATTCCAGCGATCACGTGTTCAGCCGGCACTGGACTGACTCAGCTTCTCCCCAGCCCCTGATAATCCACTCTAAGTCTTTCAATGCTAGAGATTTTGACCTCCTGTCCAAGAGACCTTCCCATCCCAGTATCTTGATGTTACTTTCAAAGTTTTCTGGAAATTCTGTTGTTTACTTGTCCATTTAGCTCTCGTTCCTGGTTGGTTTGTTTTTGAGACAAGTTCACAGTAACCTAACTTGGCCTCAGACTCGTTGTGTGCCCTTGGATGTTTGATCCTCATTCCCTGCCATCTCCCCAGGGCTGAGGTTACAGATAATGCACTACCACACCAGAACTGAGGATGATTTTGGGGACCCCAGGACTTGGTACTTTAGGAACATTTTTATCTTTCTGTCAGCCTAGGTACTTAGATGGGACTTATTTTAGGAACACTGAGACCTATTTAATCATGACACGGAAATAATTAGGTCAAGGCAGTCTAGCCGCTTCCATCACCAAACTCACAGCATTGTCCCGTAGAATTTAGGAGGTAAGAATCAGACAGAATGACAAGTTGTTAATGAGTGTCATCTTTGACCAGGGATCCTTAACTGGGATCTAAATATTTACAATGACACCAACGTCTTTGGGGGAGGGGGGAAATTACCGCACTGGCCTCTAGTTTGTGGCAATTCCCCTGCCTCCTCCTCCCAAGTGCTGGGGTTAAAAGTGTGTGGTCCCACTCCTTCGTGGGACTTGTTCTTTTACTGTTGTTTTGTTTTGAGATAGTGCCTCTTACATAGTACTAACCTGGCAAGGAGCCCCTTGTTTGCACCTCTGTGTCCCCCCATTTGCAACAGCCCACCCGCCTCACCCTGGGATTATAATAGGCATGCATCACCACGTCTGGCTTTTCCGTGGCATCATTACCAGCCGAGAGTTTGGGTACGGTCACTGGTACAGATCCTGGGACTGATTCCCTGGGGAAGGTCCTCTCCTGCAGCCCCTTTCCCTCCCTCCGCCCAGGAGCAGCAGCAGCGCAGCACGGCCGCTAGGGGACGCGAACGCACCGCTCGCCAGTCTGGGGACGGGGCGGGGCCAGGCGCGGCTTCCGGCTTCCGGCTTCCGGCTTCCGGCCGAGAGGGTGGTGGCCCGCAGCCGTCATGGCAGCCGAAGAGAAGGACCCGCTGAGCTACTTCGCGGCGTACGGGAGCAGCAGCAGCTCCGAGTCGTCGGGCGAGGAGAGCAGCGAGCCGGAGGACGGGGCTCGCAAGCAGGCGGCGCCGGCCCCCCCCGCGGCGGCGAAGGCGGCGGCGGGCGGCCGCGGGAAGCAGGCGGGGAAGCGGCTGCCGGGCCCCGACGAGCTGTTCCGCAGCGTGAGCCGGCCGGCCTTCCTCTACAACCCGCTCAACAAGCAGATCGACTGGGAGCGGCACGTGGTGAAGGCGCCCGAGGAGGTGAGGTCCCACGGCCCCGGGAGCCCGGGGGTGTCAGCCCGGGGCCCCCAGCCGGGCGACGACTAACGGTGCTGACTCCCCGCCCCCCGCTGCAGCTTCTCCCCGACACCCCTTCCCTTTGACGCCGAAGTGCCTGCGCTGCTGCCGCCAACACAGTGCCTGCCGCAGCCTCCTGGAGGGGTCAGCCTGGCCGTAGTATCTGAGACTGGATCCTTCTTTGGTAACTAAAAGTTAATCAGCCTTACTTCTATAGGGAGCCCTTTGAGGTTTCACTGAACAGTAGTGTGGTGTTGATGGCAAAATTTAAAAAGTAATAATAATAATAATGATAAAAAGTGTTGTCTTCTAAGCCTAAAGGATTTAAACAAAACAAAGAAAAAACACAGCCAGCCAGAAAGATGAGCGGTCGGCAGGGAGGTGCGTGCATGCGCTCGTTTGCGTCGCAGGAACCTCGGTTCGTCACCGGGTTTCTTAATGTGCTTACTTAACAGCCTCCAAAGGAATTCAAGATCTGGAAGTCCAGCTACGTGCCACCCCCAGAGACCTACGCTACTGAGAAGAAACCGCCGCCGCCGGAGCTGGACATGGCAATAAAATGGTCGAACATCTATGAGGACAATGGTGACGATGCCCCGCAGAGTGCCAAGAAAGCCCGGCTGCTGCCGGAAGGGGAGGAGACGGTAGAGTCGGGTAAGAGTGATGCTTCTTCTCTTTCAGGAGATAAGGGGGTGGCCTCCTCGCCTTTAATCCCAGCACTCGGCGGGCAGAGGCAGGCGGATCTCTGAGTTCCAGGACAGCCTGGAGTGTTACCTAGAGAATCTCTGTCTTGGGAGACAAACAAACAAAAGGAGGGAGAAGATACTCCATTAAAACATGTAAATCCTAGTGAATTGGAAGACTTGACTTAGAATACTAACAAGAAGTCACTTCCATTTGCCGGGTTTTGGGTGTAAGCTGGATGTTCTTCCAGGCCAGCCCGTCTTTGCCTCTCAGTGGTAAGATTAAAGGCATGGGCCACCACTCCCAAAATATGCTCTATTTTTTAGAAAGACCACACTCTGCCTGAAAATTGAGTCTCAGGGCCTCCAGTGTGCATGGTTTTTATTGTTGCCTCATTAGAGCAGCGGGCGTCAATTAACAGGTTCCTTTAACTGCAGCAGTGATGTGCCGAAGGCTTCATTTTCTATTAAGACAGCTGTTCATGGGAAAGGGGACGTAGTGGTTTGACTTTCTTGCCTTTGTTGGTAATCTCATAATTCCAACTCAGACTACCACAGTAATGGCTGCCTGCAGAGTCTCACCCCCTCTTCTGTGTCTCTAAGTCATATCTGATTGTGTAACTGGCTTGCTTGGAAGCCCCCACGAACAGAAGAGAGCCTCACCATCACTTTGAAGGCCTCCCTTCCATCGTTTTAAGATCTTGAAATCCAACCTGAGTGGACCACACCGTTATATGGTTTCCTGGCTTTTGATGTGCATTGCACCTTAGTGTAGTCTGAACGTGTTAAACTTGGCTGACAAAGTCATTCATCTTACAAAGTCCAACATGAAAACAATTTCTAGTACATTCTTGATGGTACTCTACTCCTTTACCCGGATGTGCCATGCTGTCCATTCAACATAATTGTGTGGCTGTCTGTTCCAAGGCTCGCTACTCTATGAAAGGCCGGCTCTGGTCCTCTGTGTGTGAGTGGGTGGCTGATGAGCCTGAGCCTGAGCAGTTTGCCTGTTTTGTTTAACCAATTTCTGATCTTACAAATACAAGGACCAGCCTTTGATAGACAGAAGGGGTTTCTGCTGTAGCTGAAGATGACCTTCAACTCCTGTTCCTTCTGCCTTCCTAGCACTGGGACTATAGGCATAGACTAAGTCAGGTTTTTTGAAGATCTTAAGTGAAGTGTGACACTTTGACTAAAGTGTTTTTGAATAAAGAATCCATATACAGTCTTACAAACCAGAATAGGGAAGTGTAGAATGAGAGCTCGTGACTTGTCCAAGGTCACAGTAAATACGTCATCCAAGCTTCTAATTAATATTCATAGCAACCTGACACAGCAGTAACATTATCACTGTTGTGTAGATGAGAAAACAGTCAGAAAGAATTTGCCTAAGTTCACACAGTCGGTAACTGACAAAACTGGACTTCAAAGTCAACCTTGAACTAGGATGTGTGCCTGACTAAGCCGAGGTTCCCATCACATAGTTTCAGAAGCTGTCATTCTTCTCAAGGGGTCAGAGTTGACAATCTAGGTTTCCATAGTCTCATCTCTGTCCCCTTATGATAAGAGCCAGACGTTGTATACAAGTAAGCAAGGACCATCTTTTTTCTAGCTTTTGGGTTCAATTACCAGAAATTCAAGTAAATGACAAATAACACCCGCATTACCTAGCTCATCCTGTCCTTTTGACCAGAAAGTGGATCAGCAATAGAAAAGACAAAGACCAAGGATTCTTTGACTTAAGGCTGAATGGTATGACTCAACGGTTGTTCTGAGACTGAGGAATAACACAGTCACAAATGATTTCCTCACAGGCATGAGGATCCAGAATCCTGTCCAGCATGGGCCTCCACTGGCTGACAACTCTTAAATGGTTAATGTGGTTTAAGTGTCAGTTACTGACTCTAATTCTACTCATAAACGCATTAATTAGCCTGTCATTTTCTTTTTGTATGTGTATGAGTGTGGAGACCAGAGGGCAACCCCGGGTGTCTTCTGCCTTGATTGAGACTTTCTCTGCCAAGGATGCATGCATGCTGTGTCTAGCTAGCTTTGGAGCTGAGCATTCTCTCCTCCCCACCCTGCTGTGGAATCTCTGAGGCTATAGACATGTTAATTGCTCATGCTTTTGCATTGAGTACAGGGATTCATCTCCCCAGCCCCTGACAACATTGTTTACCTGTAGTTTGTAATTAATGAAAAAGTCGACCCACTTGATTATATTTTAAATCATTAAGCTACCTTGCTTTTATTTGGCTATCCATATTCATCTTTTGTTCTTTTTTGCCATTTACTTTGAGAGTTTAGAGGAGCTGATAAAGGTTAAATCCAGACTTGCCTCTCACAGATCAGGGCTGCTTGTTTAGTGACCATGAAATGCAGCAAAAGCCAGCTAATGGAGCAAATGATTTCTATTTAATGTCTGTTTTCATTTTAAAAGTACACAGGTTACGTTAATGTTGTTTACCTTGGGTGATCCAAGTTGTGTAATAGAAAAAATTGGCATATCAGTGTGTCTGCTATGTTAGGGTTAGGTTTTTAAAAACCAAAAATCAGCTATTCCTGCCAGATGTTAGTGGCACACCCCTTTAATCCCAGCACTCAGGAGGCAGAGGCAGGTTGAGGTTGAGTTCAAGGCCAGCCTGGTCTACAGAGCAAGTTCCAGGACAGCCTCCAAAGCCACAGAGAAACCCTGTCTCCAAAAAAACAGAAAACAACAAAAAAGCTAACCCTTCCTGTGCTGGTATTTGTGGCAGTACCTTATTTTGACTCTAGGGGGCAGAGTCTCCTGCTCCAGGCATTCATGGGGACATTTTTCCAATCCTGGTATGTGGTTGTGTTTATCAGTAGATTTACCTTTAGTAAGTGGCAGTATAAGAGCAGAAATGCCCCTTTTTAATGTGTGTTAATGGGGTTCCTTGATAGTAATCTTTAAAAAATGCTTTCAACTTTTATTTCTGAAAATAGTTTCAAGGTAAACTTGATAATTAAGCTGCAGCTAAAATCCAGAGTTTGTTTGTTTGAAGTGGATGTGGTGGCTTCACACAAGTGGTCCCTACACTCTGGAAATGGAGGCAGGAGGGCCAGGCCTTTGGGCCCAGCCTGGGTCACAGAGGTTGGTTTGTGTGTGTGTGTGTGTGTGTCTCACATGATTTGTGATTTGACCTTGGCAGTTTCCTTAATCTTTTCATGTAAAGGTCTTAAAACATCAAAATATTTTATTGGACTTTGTTCTGTTGACCAAGAAAATAAAGTTCAGCCAGGTATGGAGGTTTGTGTCTGTAATCTTAGTACCTGGGAGGCTTGACGTAAGAGAATTCTGAAATCAGGCAGGTCTAGGCTGCATAGGAATAAAGGGAGGAGGAGAGGAAGCCGAATAAAGTCAAGGCTAAGGGTGTTCTGTATAGATGGTTGTCTGGAAGGCATGAGGCTATGGGCTTGGTCCCGGGTGCCATGGAATTAAGGAGGCCTTGTGTATCTATATGGAATTCTTCTGGGGTGGGGTGGGGTGTTGCTATGTATAGCTAGTGGCCTCAGACTCATAGCTGTCCACCTGTCTCAGCCCTCTGCGTACTAGGACTGCGGCCCACCACCACCACACCTGGGTGGGATTTTTTGCATCACGCATTTGTTTAGGGAACTATGGATTAGGAGTTGGTCTGCACTAGCCTATCTATATTGGGCAACATAACTGGATTTTTTAGGAATAAGATGAAAAGGTCCTCCAGTTTTTCAGGTTTGACATTTTTGTTCATGGAAATTTTCTGTGGCCATAAACAGTAACAGTGGGGGGGTGGAGTACTCTTTATTGTACAGTTCCATAGTCTTCCTCCATCCAGGCCTTCCTTAATGTGAAGGTGGAGCCTGCTTACCATGCTGTGGAGATGCTCTGACCACCTAGGAAGGACTGGTCCAGAATTAGAACAGACACCTGTGAGGTTCCCTGAACCTTCACCTGTGCTTTTAACCTCAGAACAGACTCTAAGACTGGGAGAGGAAAAATACAGCTGGTGGTGACTTAGCATGGCTAAAAGGTGATGCGTGTGTTGGAAAGGACATTGCTCTCCTGTGAAGTGTGTTGTGTATCTAAATGCATACAGTATGTGCACTGGGAGGTTTTTCTGAAACCACCAGTTCAGAAAAAGCTGGGGTTTGTGGGAATAAGAAATAAATTACGCCACGTTAACGTGCCCCTAAAAAGTTAATTTACAAATGTTGCATTGCTGTCATTAAAAATAAAAAACCTGCTTGTTCTCATGCTAGTTTAATGTGAGGGTTCTAAGAATGAGAACTTAGTTTTGTTGGTAAGCTCTCTGACCCTGGTAAGTGTTTTGGTGAAGCTTGTGAGTGAGTGTCTGTTGATGTGTAAAGTTACTAATGAAGCTCTTCTTTCCCACTTCAAGATGATGACAAAGACGAGCGAGCATCGAGAACGCGCAGGGTAGAGTCAGGAGAAACGGCCAAGAAGAAGAAGTAGACAGGGTGCGACAAGAACACCCGGGCTGCTGAGCCCTTGAGATGTGGCGTTTAAGGAACTAACACGATCGCCTCAAGACTTCCCACTATAGAATTCGTTTTTTATTTAAAGCCTGTGTGTATTCACAACTCTAATGGTGATCTGTGATTGTGTACTGACAGTACTGGAAGCATTCTGGCTATCACAGAATTGGTGACAGGAGTGGAGAGTTTTGTCACATGGACATGCCAGTGTTCTTTGAACCTTTTATAAAGGAATATATTTTTAAAGTAAATATATTGTAATGTACTGTGAACTTGTGGGTGCTTTTCTTTAGTGTCTGTACAGTGTAAATAGATGATCATGGAAATAAAACTACTTATTGCTATTATTGTATGCCACTGACGAGTATTTGACGAGCAGTCTGTTTGCCCTGTGACCTTTTAATTCACAGTAGGGATTAGCATGTAGGGAGAGCCTCCCATGTTTAGGTGCCTTGTACATACTTCCATAGAGTACACGTTCGTCTTCTGTTTTGTAATGAAGAGAGCTTGAAGAACTGGACGGGGTTACACAGCCACTGAGTGAAGACAAGCAGACTAACTCAGGACTCTGACTCCAGAGCCAGATGGAACGACCTGACTGCTCATCAGACTTTAGTCGCTATCCTCTCCTCCATGTACACTTGTGCTGTAGGGGAGGTCTTTCCTGTCGTTATTCAGCTGCACTTACAGTATATGCCTTACAGTGTGATTACTTGTTCATTCCCTCATTAAATATACTGGCTAGGCTCTTCTGTGAAAGATTACCAGATTGAGCACAGAACATCAGGTATCCAATTAAATTTGAATCTGAGTATATGTGATATGAGACACATTAAAAATTAATCTGAAGTTCCAACTTAACTGAGCATTTTGTTTATTTTGTGAGCTGGGTGTGAAGCCCAAACCCTGTCCATGCTAGGCCAATGCTGCGCTTTCTACTTTCCTTGCCCAGCTCCTGTGTGAATGCTGTCTAACAAGCAAAGCAAAGGGAACCTCTATTCTGTGTCCTTCCCGGTCTCTATTCTCCGGCTCCTCCATCTTCCCTGAGGCCAGCATACCCCGTGCCGTAATTCTTCCCACCAGTTCATGGCAGATTGAGGCACGCTGCCACCTTGGGAACGCTGTCATGGTCTGCCTTGGGCTTGTACATCCAGCTCTAGTTCCCCTTGTCTAAAAGCCCCCACATAGTGTCCAAGCCACACCTCCCGTATTTTCTTTCTGCCCCCTGCTTTACTACCTGACAGGTCTGGTGGAAACTTCCTGTCCTACCATGCTCTCTTGAAGTTTAATCCAGCTGCAAGGAATGAGTTACAGTTCCCAGATGTGCTTTTCTGATGTATTGTTCTGTTCTGCCTTATACCCTCTGCTTGGTCTGGCTCTTGTCCAGTGACCTAGTGAACTCCAGTGACATGTTCCCCTTGGATTCATTTCTTACCTGCCCACTGCCTGGCTCTCCTCAACACTGACTAGCCAAAGTGTACCAGATCCTACTTTCCAAGCAGGGGAAAATGAGGTACAGACTAATTTACTCAAGGGTGGAGAAGGGATAGGCCAGTGGGTTTAGTAAGCTGTTAAACCAGACAACCCAGAGTTCAATCTCCAAAAGCCACACAGCCAGTTCCCACAATTGTCCTCCAATCTACACTCATGTATGCACACCTCCCCATTGACATACACACACAAAGAAATGAATAGGGTGTTTATGTTTAAAAGTAGGGGAGTCACTCATCAAAGTTTTAAAAATACATTTATTCAAGGGAGACTGAGCAGTATGGCCCCAGGGTCAGAGTAGCCACTACACTGAGACTTGAATGCAGGAAGGCACCTGCAATTAGTTTAGTCACGTGTATTTGGTTCAAAGAATGTCTTTCTGTAGCTTGAATAATAAAACCCACAGAGAAGCAAAGCGGCCAGCCCTAGAGAGTTCTCGCCTCTACCACCGCTCGGACAGAAGGGGCGCTCCACCGAACCTCACCAAACTTCACAACCGCACTGCTGCTCAGATTCACTGGGCTTCTGTCTCCCGCTGTCTTATATCCACTCTAGTGCATGGGATTAACGGTGTGGGATCCCAAGTGCTGGGATCACCTCTGTGTGAGCTGTTTCTCTTTCATACTGGATCTATTTCATGCAGCCTCTGTCTCTCGAAAGTTGTGATTAAAGGTGTGTACCACCACTGCCTGGCCTCTATGCCTAGCTAGTGTGGCTAGCTTTGTACTCTAACCTTCAGGCAAGCTGTATTTGTTATAAATAAATATCACCACATTTTACCATTGGGGTATTTACATATCTAAAGAAATAACAAATCGGAGCAGGAGAGAAGGCTCAGGTGTTAAGAGTATTGGCCGCTTTTCCAGAGTACCAGGATTCAGTTCCCAGCACCCACAGGGCAGGCAGCTCACAACTGTCTGTAACTCCAGTAACCCACACACCAGTGGACATAAAATGAAGTTAAATAAATTTCTAGAAAAATTAACAAATCCACCAGGTGTTGGTGGCGCATGCCTTTAATCCCAGCACTCGGGAGGCAGAGGTAGACAACTCTCTTTGAGTTTGAGACCAGCCTGGTCTACAGAGCTAGTTCCAAGACAGAGAAACCTTGTCTTGAAAAAGAACAATAAAGAAAAGGAGAAATTAACAAATCCCAAGCTGACCAGTCTTGATCTAAAGTACCAGGAACATCTTTCAGACGAACCATCTCAATACAAAGTCAACATGCGAATGTTTTAGGAAAGTTAGTGCATATTTCAAGGACTTAGATTTTTCCTTTTAAAGACCCTTAACTAAAGCCCGAAAGCAACAAGTCTGAGACTATATCCTCCTTCCCAAAATAGTTTTCAAGAGAAGGAATGCAGCTCAATGGTGCTTGTTTGGTCTACAAGGCCATGGGTTCAATCTCCAGCACAGACAGACAGATTTGTTTATGGCAGTGCTGGGGATAAAACCCAGTCTGACACGTGTATTGAGCTGTGTTTGTCACTAGCCCTCATTTTGCCTTGCAAAGTCAGTCTCCAGGTAGCCACAACCGTTCCCTGAAAGTCTGCTGGTTTTCCTCTCTCATTTCTAATTATGGCTTGAGTTTAAAACCCTAGCACCTAGACAGCAGCTCCCAAAGGATGTATGAGGGCAGCCTTCCCACAACTGGTATTGTTTTAGGTGTGAGCATCGCCTCGCTTTTTTAGGCTCTTGAAATGACAGGCTTAACAAGCCAGACTTGTAGTATTCTGGTACCCCGGGTCTGGAACTCCCCTCTCTTTCCCTGTGTTTACCACTTCCTGAAAAAAGAAAAAGAAACAGGATTTGATGCATAAATTGAAGAAAGACAAGAGCTGCTTTCCTGGCATAATTACCTGCCTCTGCTTCTAAAGAGAACTCAAATCCTAGCAACCCTCTCTGGCATGCCTTGGAGTTTGTATTCACATTTTAAATTTAGACTCCCACGGGAAAGTGCCATGGGATTACTGAACAATCACTTCTCCAACTAAGGAAGCGACTTCCCGCAAAGGACGAGCAAGCCAATACAGAAGAAACCACAGGTGTTGGTACTGTGGAAATCTTATGACTCGGTTGCTCTTTTTCCTAGTTTAACTTTGGACACAGGTGTGTGCATGCACACATGTACGAGCGCTTGCGCGCGAGCTCATACACACACACACACACACACACACACACACACACTTGTTCCCTGTGGCTTTCTCTTACCGATAATGGAAAGTTCCCGTGTTCATCCTCGGGCCTTCACCTCTGATCCTGCCCTAACTATGAAAAGTGGCCAGGAGCCCTGCCGTAGGATTTCTTAAAGACATCCAGGGCCCATATGTCAAGTGTGAAGACAGCTCACTTCCTCTTCTTCCTCCTCCCCCATCCTCCTTCCTTTCCTTCTCTCGTCTTCCTTTCTTCCTCCCTCCTCCAGCTCCTCCTCTATTCCTGCTTTTCTCTTCTCCTTCCTTTTCCCCTTCCTCCCTTCCTCTTCCTCTCATCTCCCTTCCTCCCTCCTACTCCTCCGGTTTCCTCCCCTCCTCCTCCTTTAATTCAGCTTAATTGCCTGAGTTCCCAAAGCTCTCTGCCTGCTGTCCCTCCATACCAAACTAATTAGTGCAATTATCTGTGCCGTCCATGGCTACAGATCAGTTAGAGCCTGTTATTGAGGTTAACAAATGAGAGGGTTAATTTTTCCTGACTGCCCCGTCGCTGGGAAAGAAACATAATAAGCCTTTGTGTTTGCGCTTTCAGATCCTCAGGCCCCCTTCTCTCTGGGCACTGCTGCCACCCAGAAAAGGGATTTACTGTGGGTCTCAGGAGTCTCCGGAACCCAGAGATAAGTGGCTCAGGGCTGAGCAGAAGCCTGGAATTCACCACCACACACCAAGGGACCCCCAGCCTTGTTGTTTCGGGGTGGGAAAAGTTTCGGTGCTTCTTGAAAATATACTTCTAGGTCCTTCCTGAGCCAACTAGAGATGCTAACTTAAAACGTTAACACGTGGTAAATGGCTTTTTCTAACAAACTGGTTGGTGCCCTGCATATATTAACTGTCTTAGAGGATGCTGAATTCACCCGGTGAGTCTGGCTGTATGAGCCGCCTGGCTTTCCTGTTTTTTGCCACCTGTATTTTTACTGTAACCCTGGGAAGGAGACCCTGCGTCACCAGGCTGGGGAGCTGAGCTCTGCTCTTCCTTTCATACTTTTGCTCTCTCTAAAGTCAGTGAAGATGGGACATTCAAATTTTCTTGTTATTTTCCTGATTTCAACTAATTTTTCCCTAAGAATTGTGGGAATGTGATAGATACGTGAGAATGCATATCGGTGCCCCCACAGAAATGTCACACGCTAGGGAAATGTCCCGAATTTCACAGAAGCACACACAGAGCCCTACATGCTTGTGTTTGGGGTTTGCTGTTGTTGTTTTGCTGTTGCTACAAACTTATTTAGTCTTTTCAAAAACCAGAATATTTTATACCAAAATACACATTATAATTCTTAAGTCCAATCACTTCAATTAATTCTCGTTATATCAATGTTATATATAAAATCTTTGTACTATTAATATTCACAAAAGTTTTTCTGATTATGAAAAAATGATACTTTCTCACTGTCTTAGAGGTTCTAGAAGTTCTAGAAACAGGAAAACTGTAGGCAAAAAAAAAATCTATTGATAAAAAATAAATAAATAAAATGAATGATTTAGATTAAAAAGAAAAAGGAAAAAATCTATTGTACCATGTTCTCTTAATTTTCTACATATATGATGTACTAATGCTAGACAAGACACCTACTCTCTTACTAACATTTAACCTTTTCAGTGCCATGGGAATTCCCCTCTCCCACCCCTCCCCACCCCCTCAGCCCGAGACAGGGTGTGTGTGTGTGTGTGTGTGTGTGTGTGTGTGTGTGTGTACACTTGGCTGTCCTGAATCTAGTTCTGTAGACCAAGCTGGGCTTGAACTCACAAGAATCCACCTGTCTCTGACCCCCCCCCCCAGTACTGGGATTAAAGGCGTGCGCCACCGTGTGACTTCTTTAAAAATCTATTTTGGGTGCTGGCAAGAAGGCTTAGCAGTTAAGAGCACTTTCTGCTCTTGCAGAGGACCTGGGTTCGCTTCCCAATATTATGGCTCCCAACCGTCTACTCCAGTGGCTCTGATGCCCTTCTCTTTGGCGTTTGTGGGCACCTGCATGCATGTGCTGCACATATATACACTCAGACAGTCAGACAGACAGACAGACACACACACACACACACACACACACAGGTATACAAAATAAGTTTTAAAACTTTTTAAAGATATTCAACTTCATTGCATCATAGTTTAACATTTAGCTATCAGACAATAAAATTACTTCCATTTTTTTTTTTT